ATCACGCAGATGCTGAGAGAGGACGGATGGAAGGAAGCAGCGATTGGGCCAACGATCGAAGCAGTCGTTAAGCGATCATCAGTCGTAGGGGGGAAGGGCTCACCAAGGCAGGAGGGCTCACCGAAAGCTAATCAGAACGCCGTGGCCCAAGTAATGGAGCAGATGATGCAGCTGCTCAGCCCAATGGCTAGTCGCCTAGAGGCACTTGAGAGGAACCAAGCCGAAGGACGTTCGGAGTCATCCCCAAGAGTCGACACTCCTCCACCACCGCTAACAACAGTCGCCGAGCCAGCAGCCTGCAAGAATAAGTTTCCCGACCTAGAGCGTTTTAATGGGACACGTAATAACTACCTAGGTTAGAAATTTGAGTGCGAAGGGAAGCTAGAGTACGACCACGCCATATTCCCAACGGAGGACGCAAAGGTCCAATACGTGCTCAGTCAAACAAAGGGCAAAGCAAACTAGGTCCTTCTTCCCTAGGTGCTTGAGAATAAGGAACGAACTACGGCCGGCCTATAGGAGCACATGGATACTCACTTCTAAGACGTGCACTAGCAGCAGCGTGCGCTAAACAAGCTTCGGCACTTAAAGCAAGGACGACGACCAATACGCGACTATGTCTCGGAGTTCAACCAGCTTCGCGTAGAGTCCTAACAGCAGTTTAGCCTAGCAGTAGCTTGCGAGATGTTTAGTGAGGGACTTGGAGAAGAGCTCTAAAAGCTAATGCTCCATACTTTAAAGAACGGAAGTCTAAAGGAATATATGGACAAGGCAATCGAGCTTTCCAATGACCTATACCAGATCCAGTTGCACGGGAGGAATCGAAGGAACGCGGCCTACAGTCATGCGCAAGCTCCCCCAAAGGTCGCTCAGCGAGATGCTAGTCCAGAAGCGATGGACTGGGAGCCCTCGAAGGCCAATCGGGCACGGGAAACGAAGGATAGACCAAGGCGGTCCCCACTAGACTGCTATAGCTGCGGCGAACTAGGCCACATTGCTAGAAACTGTCCGAACACCACTTAGGTTAAGAGAGCCGTTCCCCTAAGCGAAGGGTAGAGACGCCAGAAACAGATCGAATGCCCAGACGATAGCGACTCGGAAAAAAGAGTAGCTCTGGGCCAGAGTCTCGGCCCAGAGCCTCTGAAGATGGATCGGCAGACACGTAGCGAATGGAATTAGTTTTAGCAGAAGCATATGCGTCCCCCACCAATCACCGTAGATCTTATTGTGAACAACGTAGCAAACGCTGTCGCGCTTATAGACTGCGGATGCCTATGCTATGCACTAATTAGCAAGAGATTCGCTTACCGCCACCGTCTAGAGCGCTTTCAGATCCCCTCTTGGATAATTGAGGGAGTGAACGGCAAGCTATTAGAGATTAGCGAGGTCGCCCAATTCTCGTTCAAGATGCATGGGTACGAAGAGACTGCTTATGCATACGTGATGGACTTGTCCTCTAGTGAGGACGTGTACCTTAGCAGGGGATGGATGGACCACTAGGACGTATCAGTATCTCCTGCTAAGAAGAGTATTTTTATCCACTTGAAGGGCATTTGAGTAAGGTTAACTAAAGGACGCCTACGAGGAGGAGTTAGCTAAGTTAACGCCGCAGCGTTTGCGGCCTTAGTTCGTAGACATAAGAACGCTCTAAATAGCGTTTAGATCTTCGCCGCGTCGATTGTAGACATCGACAAGGCGCTACAACTGAAGAAGCCCGTAGATGTACGAGCGCTGCTACCAACACAGTACCAGGAGTTCTATGAGCTCTTTAACCCGAAGCAAGCAGAGAAGCTTCCACCGCACTGAGGGCCAGGGGTGGACCACAAGATCAAGCTAGAGCCGAAGGATGCTCAGCCACCGTGGGGACCCCTCTATAGCATGTCGCGCGGAGAGCTCCTAGTCCTTAGAAAGGAACTCACATCGCTTCTTGAGAAGGGATTCATCCGCGTAAGCAGCTCGCCAGCTGCAGCGCTAGTATTGTTCGCCAAGAAACCTGGAGGAGGGCTCCAACTGTGCATCGATTATCGAGCTCTGAACGCAATTACTAAGAAGGACTAGTACCCGCTACCCCTCATCCAAGAGACACTTAACAGCTTAAGCAAGGCTAAATAGTTTACAAAGTTAGACGTTATCGCAGCCTTCTACAAGATCTATGTCGCACCAGGCGATAAGTGGAAGACAGCCTTCCGAACAAGATTCGGACTATTTAAGTGGCTAGTTACCCCCTTTGGCATGGCGAACTCCCTAAGTACTTTTCAACGATACATTAACTGGACCTTGAGAGAACACCTAGATGACTTCTGCTCAGCATACCTGGACGACGTACTAATCTACACCGATGGCGATCTGCGCCAGCACCGAGAGCACGTCCGAAAAGTGCTTAGCAAGCTGCAAGCCGCAGGGCTACAGGTGGACGTCAAGAAGTGCGAGTTTAAAGTCAAGACAACCAAGTACCTTAGGTTCATTATCGAAGCAGGTAAAGGGATAAGCATGGATCCAGCCAAGGTAGCTGCAATCCGCGAGTGGGAGGCACTAAAGACAGTAAAGGGAGTAAGATCGTTCTTAGGGTTCGCGAACTTCTACTGAAGGTTTATTAAGAACTTCGCGCAGCTAGCCGCACCCCTCACTAGGCTTACAGGTGACGTCCCCTTCCAATGGGGATCTAAAGAGCAGTCAGCCTTTGAGAAGCTAAAGGAGATCTTCGTTACAGAGCCCACGCTGGCGGCGTTCGACCCAGATCGGGAGACAGTGCTCGAGTGCGATTCGAGCGGCTACGCGGTGGGCGGGGTGCTATCACAGTACGACGATGATGGAGTCTTACGGCCTTGCGCGTTCTTCTCGCGGAAGAATAGCGCGCACGAGTGCAACTACGAGATCCACGACAAGGAGTTGCTTGCGGTAGTACGATGCCTTGAGGAAT